TGTAAAATCACTACGTGTCTTCTCTGTGTTGCACAGCCGTCCCCGCCTCCCCCATGCACTATACATGCTAATCATAATGCCCCCATAGGGTATTTTTATTGAATGAAAAATACTTTGTAAACTGTAAATTACCTTGTCAACTTTAAAAAGCTTCAGCAGCAGCAAACCTTTCTTACAAGGATTTTTTAAAATTTCTCAGACTAAGCAGGACCTTTGTTTTCACCCATCACCCAGCTATCTTCCAGCATGACTGCAACACCCTCAACCCTCCCCAGTTCCCACCCACCATAAATCCAGCTCACCTAAGACATCAGGGTTCTTAAGAAGGTATAGAAGCCCATAGCAGAGTGCTGCTAGAGATCTCTGTGCCAGCACAGAACAGCAAGGGCACCGTGTGGATAAAATTCTTATAGTGAAACCCAGTCTCAGGATCAGAGCACTCCTGGGGATGGACAATCCTTAATGTGACCCCTTGCAAAGTTTCAGGTCTTCTCTTCCCCCGACCCACTCCCATGTGGCTCTGTGACAGTTTTTCTTTTTCCTTATTTCCTTCCCCCCTTCCCCCTCTATTTAAGGCCAACAATGTAACAAAAGGGTGGGCTCTGGAGCTAAGCTGCCTGGTTTCAAACCCAGGCCTAGCATTTTACTAGCTGTGTGTCTTTGGCAAGGAACTTAATCTCTTTATGAGTTACTTCATCATCTGGAGTTGGTTTGACATCATGCATGTAGGTGCTCAATAAACATTAGGGATTAATATTTTGGGGTGGGTCTTATCTTCTCCGTCCTTAGGTGTCTCTGCTTTCCTGATTGGCCCTTGCAGCTCTCTGTCCAGGGCTGATACTGAAGATATTTAAAAACTATATGGCATTTGTCAGACCAATCAGAACAGACATGGGTCTCCGACCAATCAGAATGGGAGAGGGCGTGCAGGGACTCAGAGGCCCCCTGCTGGGCCACATGTGAACTCTTGGTTGCTACCTCTTAACAGGCATTCCAGGAGGAGGGCCTGGGTAAACTGAGGAAGGAATGGGGAGGGGGACGGGGGCAGTGGCTTTCTTACCAACCCAGAGGGAAGTATTTTAATATTTAAACAACACGTACGTGGTACCCAAATGTGCAAGCTTCGTTTGCCACCCAGCCCCAGTGCAGCTCTGCCCTTGCCTTGTCTGAGCGGAACAGAAGGAATCAGTGAAGTCCTTCAGGGAGTTGGGGTCCAGCGTTTTCCAGTGCTTCTCGATGTTCTCAGTGACAAAGTCTTCCGGTTCTTCAGTGTTGCTGCACAAGCCAGTGCGGATGCCAGCAAAGTGTTTTAAGACGCCGGAGAGGCGTTCAAACACCTACAGGGAAGCAGGGAAGACTTCTGAACGTGCGCTGCTCCCTGGATTGAAGCCGTGGGTGTGGAGGTTGTACCCTGCAAGGCACGGCAATGTCTGAAGGGCATCGTCCACCCACCCTTGGACTTGGGGATGCACCTCCCAGATAAGCAGAACCTACACACATACTCAGCTGCGTGTGAACAGCTACCTCAATAGCTCTTACATCTGCTGAGGTTCCTTCTCTCACAGTCCCTCGTTTAAGGAGGCCTGAATCCTACCCGCATTCTGACTCATCGCCCCACGCTGGAGGGCATTAGGGGGTGAAGTGTGTGCATAGAAACCTGACTTATTGATGCCATCTTGCATCAGTGTTCGGAAGAGAAAGCATCTGATCCCTTTCCAGTGTCCACCTACCCGGATTTCTGGCCCAGTGTGGCATCTTTGGCCTCGTATGGCTGTAAAGGGAGCTGATAATAGAGAAAGAGTCATTCAATAAATGTAGCAGCCATAAGAATCTGGGGCCATGGTAACTGAAACGCTTGCCAAAGATGACGGAGCATATGATGTTGTTTGTGGTGGAGTGAAAGAGGAAGGTGGGACCCAGATAGGCCCCTCGGGATGAGAGGTCTGTCATGGGGGGGTCCTCTGCATTGTCCTCCTGGGTGGGTTGAACCTGAGCTTGTTCGGTTGGTTTCTTTCTCTTCCTCTTGGTAGCCAGCTTTCCCTGGGCTTCTGCATCACAGCTTTTCTTTCTGGGCATCTCCTGTTCTGTGTATCTTCTTTTCCTCCATCTCTGTCTTGGTCTGATTTTCTTGGTACCCCTGCATCTCTCTCTGCTCTTGTCTCTGCCTCTGGACTCACCCCTTTCTCTCTATTCTCTCTCTTTGTGTCCTGTCTCCTTGGCCTCACTGTCACCCTGTCTCTCCCTGGACTCGACTTCTCTTTTCCCTTTTCTAAGTCTTTTCCTTGCAGATTCTGCTTCTGGGTAGATCCTTGTCAGTGTCCTCAGTTTCCTGCTGTCTTACTTTCTGTTTTTCTGTCTGTCTCTGCTCTCTGTTTCTGTCAGCTTTCTCTGCCTCTCCTTCTCTTTCTCCTTTTCTGTCTCTGTCCGTCTCCTCTCTCTCCCTGGCTCTGTGTCTCCATGTCTCTGACTCTGGGTCTCTTCCCATCCGTCCTCTCGCTGGCTTTCTCTGTCCCTGTCCCCAGCCACGGCTCACCCTGGAGTTCCCGCAGCTCCTCCACCAGACGCTGAGCCTCCTCCTTGGTTCTTTCCTCGATGCTCCACTTCCCCATCCCGAAGTCCCTCATGGTGGCCAGAGAGAACCGCCAAAGGGCCTTCCAAGACTTTCCATTCACAAAGAACACACCTGATCAGTGGGGCGTGAAGGGGAGGCTGGGGGGCACATGGGATGGTCCCTTGTCCTTCCTGGAGCCCCACCCCCATTCCCCACTCGCTGGATCCCTGGAAGGTGGGGTCACTGATGGCAATGTGCCCTCAGCCACAGAAAGCCTCCGCCTGATCCACCAGGGCCCCCCTCACAGCCTTGTACCCACACAGGGTGACAACAGGCCTGGACCCCAGGTAGACCGTGAAGACATCCCGCAGCTGTGTAGGCAGAGAGAAGGGTCTCCACCCCCACACCTGGATCACACCTTCCAGGGCAACCTGAACCCTACTGGCTGCTGCCCCATCAGGAGAGAAGAGAGACTGGAACCCCATGGCGTCCTCCTTCGCCCTGGCATCCTCTTCCCTCCACTTTCCCAGGAACCCTCACAGTTTTGGAATTTAAGAATTACTGAAGCTCCCCACCTCTGAGCTCTGATACCTCTCCCTGCCAGCCCCCAAGGACCAGAGCTCAAAGCCTCAAGCCTATCAGAGTCTCTCCCTCCAGTCTGCCTTCCCTCCATTCCTTCTCACAGGAATTCCAGAAGCTTCTGTAGTGGGCATATTGGTCCAGATCATGGCTGGAAGAAGAAACCCCCACGCTGGCCTGTGAAGTCCCACCCAAAGCTTGCCTTGCTACCTGGGAGCTGCCTTCCATCCACCCACCCCTGTTGTCCACCCTTTTCCCCTCCCACCTCACCTCCTGGAAGGACTTGAGAAAGCCCCTGTGGTCTATTTGCAAAATGTTCCCCAGGAAGGGCAGAGACCAGGGTCCTGGAGGGAGGTGGCCTTGAGAGGTGGGGTAGCCCCAGAGTAGGAGGAGGCCAGTGAGGACAGTGAGCAGCAGATGGCCAAGAGTGCCACGGCTCCCACTGTGCCTGGCGCCCATCCTGCTGTCCCTCCTAAAGGGCAGGCTGCTCTCTGCTTGTTGGATTCTCCTCTGTGCCCGGTGGGAGAGGGTATGCAGGGAATCCACCTTGACACAGTTCTTGGTAACTTTCCAGAGGTGACAGGTGGGACAGAGGCCAGGAAGTTTTGAATCTCGGGTGTCCCAAAGTCAGCTTCCTATTGGCCCCTGGCTGGCTGGAGCCATCTTGGTTGACAGTGCCCTTGAAGAGGTCCCCCTCAAGGAAGGGTGGTGGTACCAGCTGATGGAACATGTGGAGGCTGGACCAGGATGGTTGCAGTACAAGTGTGGCTCTGAGATAGTTTTGTTGGAAGCTGGCATTGCATCATGAGGCATGGGGATAGCTAGCAGGCAGACTTGGGGCTCCTGTACTCAGTGGGGACAGGGATTTAGTCTGGGCATCAGAAGAGAATGAGATATGGAAAAGGAGACATGGTCTGATGGGGGAAGCCTAGCTCCACATTGGGTAGGTTTGGGGTAGCCGGTTTTATCCATCCATCCATCCAGTCATTCATTCCTCAGCAAATATTTTTAAACCTGGTATGCCATGCCACACACTGCTCCAGATGCTGAGAATACAGTGATAAGCAAAACAGTGGCTTTGCCTTCACGGAGTTGGCCTGCGGCTCTCACCTTCCTGAAAGATCCCTAGCGACCTGACGATAAATGGGTCACACTCAAATGGCATGGACCACCTGTCCCAAGGATGTTTATCTGAGTCTCAAGGGATTTGAAGGAGAAGATCGGGGAGTCCCAGTCACCAATTTAGAATCATACAGCTCAAAGGCTGGGGAGGTCTTTTCATAGAGGGAAGAAGTAGGGAGAAGCAAGGAGAGGGGGGATGTGGGAGGACTCTGGAGGTACAACGTGGGTGACCCTCAAAAATATGATGCTAAGTGGAAGAAGCCAGACACAAAAGATCACATACTAAGAACAGAGCCACAGACCAGTGGAACAGACTAGAGACTCCAGACATTAACCCAAACATAAAAAAAAAAAAAAAAAAGATCGCATACTGTATGAGATTCTATTTCCACGAAATATGCAGAATAGGCAAATCCGTAGAGGCAGAGAGCAGACTAGTGTTTGCCAGGGCTGAGGGGAAGGGAGAATGGGAAGTACTGCTCATGGGTATGGGGTTTCCTTCTGGGCTGCAGAAAATGTTTGCAACTACATTGAGGTGACAGTTGCACAACACTGTGTTTGAACTAAATACCACTGGATTATTATACACTTCAAAATCGTCAATTTTATGTTATGTGAATTTCACCTTAATTGTAAAGTCTATGTGTATTGTGGGGAGGGATGTGGTGGAGTTTGAGTTCAAGAGCTGGGGAGACAGAGCATGAACCTCCCCCCTCCATTTACTAGCCATATGATCTCGGGCAACGGATGCTATTGCCTGGCTTCTGTTTATTCATCTTTAAAATGGGCATAACCGTCATACCCACCACCTGGGGCTACTGTGAGGAGGAGGATCCAAGCGAGATCATGCACGCCCAGGTCATGGAGTGCCAGGAGTTGATTAGTGGAGGCTGCGGTTGTTCTGGGCAAGGGGGAGGTCCCTCGGGTGAGCCGTGGCCTGGGAGGCAGACCTGCACAGATCCTGAGCCATGGTTCCCCTTTCAGTCCCAGTTCCTAAATAAACACCTATGAACAGAGGAAAGGAAAACACCTCCTCCTCAGGTCTTCAGAAGAGCTGCGAGGCCGCAGAGGGGACTTCCCCAGGGAGGTAGCAGCGAAGGAGGGGAAGTAACAGGTCTCTGGGAGCGGGAGGACACGGAGACTGTCAAGGGGCCTTCTCTGCGGATACTTCAAGACCTTGGCATCCTTTGACTCCCTTCCCTCAGCCCCCTCCGCGGGGGAGGAAGCGGATCTGGTATGTCGGGGGCAGTTTGCCCACACCACTCTCCCGGGGTGTGAGGTCGATGTCCTTAGGAGCCACCGGGCCGGCCACTGAGAATTGCTGGAGGATGGTGGTGAAGAAGAGGAATAGCTCGTTGCGGGCAATGCCTTCACCAAGACAAATGCGCTTCCCTGTGGGCACAGAGGGCACCAATGTGGGTGGGGGGCGAACAGGCATTCTTTGCCCCCTCCCATCCCAGAGACAGACGCCTGTGGGCATTGTGACCAGTTTGCACGGGATTGGCCTTTAACCTGCCGTTCAGGGTGGATGTTTAAGGGGTTCCCAAGCCCGGATGCCAATCTCTGGGTGGATGTGCTTGCCCATTTTTCCAGGAGAGATTTCGTAGCTTCTGTTAGATTTCCAAAGCGTTTGCTTCTGGTTGGAAGTGCGTGCGTATCTGTCTCCACATGTGTAGGTGTGTGCATATTTCTGACAGCGTTTTTAATGTCCTTCATTTCTAGTATGGGGAGAATGATACCTCTCCCATAGGGCTATTGTGATGCTAAAGCCGTTAATATTTGTAAAAGTTCTTAGACAAGCATTTGGCCCGTCCTAAGGATTCTGTGGGTGTAGTTATTGCTTTGTTTGTTTCTGGGTGTGTGCGGTGCAGAGTGTGTGGGTATATCTGGCATGGCATGTGCTTGTCTGGCTAAAGGTTGTCTTCTTATGTCAGCCTGAGAGCCGTGGGCTTTAAGAGTTCTGGGGAAATAAAAGCCCAAATTGTACATAAAATTGTGAGTGGGGCTGAGGCACAGGAGACTGGAGTCCATGGCTTCCTGCGGATTCTGAGGTGTACGGAGCCCCCCACCCCCACCACCATCGGTCACAAACCAAGGGCTTGGGGAGGAATGAGGGCCGCAGGGAGTCGGGAAAGGCAGAGGCGCAGACGGCTCCTCCTTGACCTCCGGGCGTCTTGATCTGCCCGCTGACAGCGTGGGGCAGGCTGTTCAGGTTCCAGGGATGGGTCCCAGCCCCTTGGGCTCTAACACCTCTGGCTTGCTTGGTCCTTCGTTCTGCCCATGGCAGGCTGCCCAGGCTTGCCTCCCGTCTGCACCCGCTGTCGGGCATGGTCTCTCTCTCTCTCTCCTCTTTTCTCTGCTTTCTTCAATCTCAACTCCCTGTCTCTGTCTCTGTGGATTGACTCTGTCTGCACCTCTCTCATTTTTCACCTCCCTCTACAGATACGGATTTTCTCCTTCGCTGTTTCTTCTTCTCCGTTCATGTCGCTTTGGGTTTTTCCCTCTCTTATGCTCTCTCTCTCCCTCTTCGCCTCCTTTCCCTCCTCCTCCTTCTCCCTCTCTCTGCTTCTCACTCCCTCTGTCCTCATCTGACTGTCTCTGTCCTTGTTTCTCTGCATCTCTGCCTCACTCTAAACTTACAGCAGGAATTGAATGGAGGAACTGACCCCCGTCCCACCGCCCTGCGTGTCCCCCAGCTGTCACATAAGGTGACGTGAGAGAGGAGGCCACTGCACGGGGCAGAGCCAGGAGCCTTGGGCCACCAAAGTCACTGATGGAAATCAAAACTAGGGACTTGACTCTGGGCTCCTCAGGTACACTTTCCAAGGTAGTCAGGACTTCCTATTTGAGCTCCCAAAGGCCCATTAGAGCATTTATCACAATAATGATTAATTATAATAATAGTAATTGCTCCAAAGCTCTTTCTTTGTGCCCAGCAGTTCTAAGCATATGGCAAACATCAGTTAATTTAATGAGGTATTATTTTGTGACCATTTGTTGGAAGCCCATCCCCGCTGCTGATTGACCTTTTCCTGGGGCAGGAATTGTGTCTCTGTGACTTAACGAAAGCACTACCTTCAGTCTCGAAAAGAGCACTGGGTTCAGAGTAGTGCTCCACAGATATTTTATACTGAGGTGTGGGGAGGTTAAAATACTTTCCCAAGGTCCAGCTTACCAAGATATGTCTATGGGACATGATCTTAATTCTCCAGCAGCCTCTATGGTTGTAGTGAAGATGGAGTGGGTTAACACAGTTAAGCCAATTGCGTATACTAACTGCTCAATAAACAAAGACCTCTCCTTGTTGCCTCAAGCTGGGAATGGCACTTGCACTCTGGTGCCTAGGAAAGGGAGTTTGGGTCCAGCTTACCTATGGAGAAGGGGACAAAAGCCTCACTCTTCTTCAGTGCCCCATTGGCATCCAGAAAGTGGTCAGGGTTGAAGGAGTCTGGTTTTTCGAAGTAAAGTGGGTCGTGGAGAGCAGAGCTCAGGATGGGATATACTTCAGTATCCTGAAGGAGAGTCACAAGATGGAAAGATATTGCCATTCCCTTCCCAACCCCACTCCCCAAAAGCGAACAAAACAAACAGAAGAAGAGGGCCCCAGTGATAAAACCACAAAGAGGTCAAGTTCAGAGATGACTAGAACCCGGATGCCCACACAGGCAAGATTCAGGACCCGGCTGGCCTCACCTTGGGGATGATGTAGCCTCGGAAGTAGGTGTCTTTTATGACCGTGTGGGGCACGCCAAGGGGGATGAGGTCCCCAAATCTCTGCATCTCGTGGATGACTGCATCAGTGTATGGCATGTTGGCTCTGTCATCAAGTGCTGGAGGGCGATGTGGGCCGATCACCTGGTCAATTTCCTTTTGAACTTTCTCTGCAAAGAAGAGTGGGACCAGTAAGCCTCACTTTAAAGAAGCATCTCAGCAGGGACCTTGTTTTCTATGTGCCAATGCGCTGGGAACAATTTATAGTAAGGGTTAGATTATTGACACCTTTCAGAGAAACCAGCTTGGAGTGGGGTGAGGGGGGAGTGTAAAGAAGCAAGAATTCTCACCCTTTGAAATTTAATGAATGTTATGGATTATCTCCCCACCAGCACAGGTAAGTACACGCATGCACACACACACACACACACACACTCGTATCACAATTTTGCATAGAATTTCCAATCAAGAACTCAAGGCTATGAGTCTATTATAATTCCCCCTCTAAGATGAGTAGAAAATGATTTGTTGTGTGTCTATTATAGTTGAGGCTCTGTGCTAGGTCGTCAGGAATATAACAATAGAGTAGATCAATAAATTAACACATGAACACCTGAATAAATAACTAAATGAATCCATCAATCAATGGGTCAATGCACGAATGGAAAGATTAATAAATGCAAGAATATTAATGAATGGATATATGTATGTACTTATAGAGATTAATTAATGGATCATTAATTAGCAAATGGTCCATAAACCACCTGAATGGATAGATAACTAGATTTATGGAGGAACAAGTGAATGAATAAATTAGTGAAGGAATAGGTAAAGGAATAAATGGGTGGATAGACTGAATGAGACATGAATAAATCAAGGATGAATAAATGACTGAATTGTTAAATGAATGCTAGATGGATGAAGGATGAATCATAAGACTGACCAATGGAAGGATTAAGAAGTGAAACCTGGTTCATAGAAGGACAGATGGATGCAAAGGATCAACAGATGAACCAATTAATCCAAATAAAGAATGGAAGTGTACGTGCTTGGATGAATCATAGATGAAAGAATCCGAGTGTACAAGTTAATTAATGAGTAAAAGGACAGGCAGATGAATGGTTGGGTGGATGGATGATCTTTAAGTCATCAGAGGAAACGGTGGGCGAACAGACTGACGGATTCTTCATTCGTCCAGCCACCAACAGGGCTGGCTTACTTGGGGGCTCATTCGAAACTCGCAGTGCTCCTGGTATAAGAGTAGATCTCTGCCTCTTTCATTCACGAAAGACCCCTAGTTGCACTTGCACGTGACACAAAAAGGGGTGAGAAGCGCCCCCTGGATGGGCTGTCCCCAGCCGCCCACCTGTAATGTGTGGGTATTTGAGCATGATCAGGAAACCATAGCGGAGGGTGGTGCTGGTGGTCTCCGTGCCGGCGAAGAAGAGCGCGAGCGTGTTGAGGATGAGGTTCTTGTGGTGGAACTCGCTGTCGGGGATGTCCTTGTCCTGCGCCCGGGGAGGGTGCGTGTCAGGCAGCTGGGGACGCTGCCCGCCTGCTGTCCGAGCGCCCTCCACCTGTTGCTGGGTCTCCCACCGACTGGCTCGCTTCTCCTGCCTATGCCCAGCCGGGCACCACTCTCGCTGTCTCTTTCCGCCTCTCTTCACTCTACCTGGCTCTGTTCCCGTCCATCTCTGCATCTCTTTGGGCGTTTGCCTCTTCCTCACCCAGCCTCTTCCTGCCTGTGTGGGCCTCCCCACCCGTTGCGGTGTTTTGTCCCTGGTCTGTATTCCTGACTCTCTCCTCCCTACTTTCTCCTTCCTTTCATCTCCCCTCCGTCCCCTTCCGCTTGCCTCCCACCCTCCCCTCGTTCCCACTCTGCACCCCTCTCCCCCCGCCCCTCCCCTCCCACTGCCCTCTCCCAGGCCCACTTTGTCCATGCGGAGCAGGTAGGTGTCGATGAAGTCCCTCGGGGCACTGGGATCCAGGGCTCTGCGGTGTTCCTCTACACTGTGGCCAATGAACGTGTTGATTTCCTGCAGGTTTCTGTAGACTTGCCTGTGCGTGCCAGGAAAGTACTTCAAGAAGTTGGAGAAGAGCTCGAACATCTGTGGAAAGAAGGGGCTGTGAGGCCCTCCTGGGCCCTCGCACCTCAGAGGGGAAACTCTGTCTCCCTCTGTCTCTGTTTCTCTCACTGTCTCTGTCTCTATGTCTTTGTCCCTGTCTCTCTGTATCTGAGTCCCTCACTCACTGACTCTGTGTCTCCTTTGATCTCTTATGCTCACTCATTTCTCTTTCTGCATCTCCCTCCCTCATCCTCAAGTCCTTTTGCTGGTCTCTGACCCACCTCTCTGCCTCTCCCCTTTCCACCATCCCTTCCTTCGGCGTGTCTCTCCTTCCCATCGCCTCTCTGTGCTTCTGTTACCTCCGCCGGTCTGTTTGGTGCAGACTCTCTCTGACTCTTTCCACTGTTCCCATCGCCCTTGCTCTGTCAGGCACAGACAGCGTGATGCTTACGCAGATGAGTCTACTGGCTACTTCAGACTACTGATCTATTATGGAGCATATTTTATTGTTCTGAATGCAGAAGCACATAAAGTACAATGTAAAATTCCTTCCTAATGCCTCCTCCTAGAGATAATCATTGCTAACTGGTGGGTCTCCTTCCAGACTTTTCTCTCTCCATGGTTTTCTCTGAGAGGAAAAAAACTGAAATCAGCTGTTGGGCTAGTTGCAAACACCTGGGCCCCTTTCCGACACTCCAGTAGAAGGTCGTGGGAGTTTGTCGTTGTGACAGTCCTATGTGCAGATCTGACATATTCTCCTGGCTAAGAACGATAGCAAAGCATACCATTCTGCAGTCAGTTTAATTGTTTCAACTTAATATACAACTGGGTATTTCCAGGTTAGTCAAGAAAGAGGACTTTATTATGTTATTTTCAAAGGGGGCATATTAAGTTAGTGATGGATATCAAAGTACAGCATAGACAATATAGTCAATAATATTCTAATATCTTTCTATGTTGACAGACAGATAGTAACTACATTAGTTGGGGTGAGCATGTAATAATGTAGATAACTGTCAAACCACTGTGTTGCATAGTTGAAACCAATACAATATTGTATACAATATTGAAGTTATACTTTAATATCAAATAAATAAATAAACAATAAATGAAGAGCGTATTACTTTATAACCTGGGAGGCATTTTTTAAAAATCAGGAAAAGGGAGGAGAAACAGGGAAAATGAAGAAACGTGGTTCCTTATTTTCATGGATGCTGGAATTTCTTCAAGAGAGGGACCTTGCAGACAGAGGCAAAGATTCAGAGGAATCCGGGACAGATGATAGAGAGCCTGAAAGTCTGATTCATTTTCTCTCTCTCTCTCTCTCTCTCTCTCTCTCGTCTTCAACTCTGTCTCCTGGGATCTCTTTATCTCGGCCCTTCCTCTTGTTATCTCTGCCTTCCCTTCCAAGCCCTCCTTTGTTAGTCTCTCTGATTCTCTGACTCTCTTTCCTCCCTCCTCCCCTTTTTTCACACAGTCTCTCAGCTTCTGTCTCAACGTCTCGTACTCCCTAAAGGTCTCGGGATCCTTCTCTCCTGTTGTCTCCGCCCTTCCTCCAGCCCAAAGCTGCATTTTTGGGGCCCCCGGTGCAGATGTCCCCTTCCGCTGCCCTGGCTGTCCCCTCATGTCCTCCCTCCCTCCGCTTCCCCCTGACCTGGCTGGAGAGGGAGCTGATGAGCGAGAAGGTCTGGTAGAATAGGTCCAGCAGCCGCAGGAACCTGGGATCTTTGTAGTCAAAGCGTTCTCCAAAGACAATGGAGCAGATGATGTTGGCGGTAATGGAGTGGAAATATAAGGTGGGGTCCTTGAGGGCTCCTAGGAGAAGAAGGAGGCACAGGTCATGGAACACAGACCGGGGAGCATTTGGCTGCTGCTCCATCCCTGTGTCCTCCAAGGCTCGGTAATGATAAGGAAAACAGTAATGTCAACAGCCAACACTCAGTAGCCTATGTGACGGGCTGGGCCCTATTCTGAGCACTACACATATAATTTTATTGAATTCTCACATTAAGCCTGTGAGGAAGGTGTGATTCTGTTATCCCCATTTCCTAGCTGGGCAGACAGAAAGGTTAAGTCGTTTGACCGGGGATCCCCAGCTACTACTCCCTGGAGCCAGGATTCAGATCCAAGCAGGTCAGCCACTGCACCTGTCCCCCCCACCCAGGCCCCAGCTCTGACTCTGGAAGCCGGTAGAGTGCAGTCCCAGGGGCCGGGGGCACGCAGAGCAAGTGCTGCATCTGTCACAAGCGCCCCTCTGCCTCGCCCTCCTCTCCTCTCCACCTCTAGGGCTCTCTGGCCCTCAGGGAACCCCTCTGCACCTGCTAGTCAGTCGCGCATGCCAGACTCCATCCTCAGAGCCCAGGAGCACCAGGTGCACGGTCAGTGCGGCCTGTCTCTGTGGGTGTCACCTGTCCGTCTTGTCTTGACCCTTCCCAAGCCCCTCTGCCTCCCATTTTCCCTGCCTTGGTTTCTCTCTGCCTCGGCTTCTTGCTGCCCCTCCGAGTGCCCTCTGCTCTCCCTCTTTGTCTGGGTCCCTCCGTCTCTCCCTCTCTGTCTCTCTGTCTGTGTCACCCTGTTCCCTCCTGCCTTTCTCAGTCCTCTGTCCCTATTCTTCTATTGCTCCCTATGTCTCTGCCTCCTACGTTCCCTTCCAGCCTCTACACTATGTCCCCCAGCCTCTTAAGAAAGGACCCTGACCCCCTCAGGTCTCATAAACAGCTGTTTATGGAGAATCCAAGAACAGACAAAAGGGCTTCTTTGCCAGTGCACCCAGGACCAGAGCAGTACACCCCGACTGCCTCCCTCGCCCACTGCCGGCCTGCGATCAGTTCACCCGAGGGAAGGAAAACACACTTCCTCATTTTCAGAGTCCTTAGTTTTCCCTTTTCTCTTTTTGCTTTCACTTTATATAAATCCTAGTTTTGCCTTTACTAGATACAATTAACCCCTAAGCTGGTTTCCTTGAGGACAGTGCAGAGCCCTCTGCTCTTCATTTATGTCTGAGTCGTCCTCCGTGCCACGCGTCGGCTCCCTCCAGCTCCTGTGCCCCTCTCCCACCAGGCTCTGACCGTCTCTATGCCCCTCTCTCTGTCCCGGTCCCTCTGTCCTACGGTCTCCCAGGCTCTGTCTTTTCTCTCTACCTCTCTTTCTCTGCCTGCGGATACCCCTTTCTTTGCTTTGCACCCTGCATCTCTCCGGGTTTCATTGTCTTCCTTTCCTACCCACGCCCCTGGGCTCACCCTGGGTTTTCCGCAGCTCCTCCACCAGACACTGAGCCTCCTCCTGAATCTTCTGCTCGATGCTCCGCTTTCCCATCCCGAAGTCCCTCATGGTGGCCAGAGAGAATCTACGGAGGGCCTTCCAACGTTCCCCGTTGGCAAAGATCACACCTGGGGGGTAGAGGAGGCACAGGGTGTAGAGAAGTTGGAAGGAGACTCTGGGTCCCTCCCCACCCCTTACCTCCCCTTCCCAGGCTCACCCTCCCCAAGCTCCATTCTCCATCTTGTCCCATCCCTGTGACTCTGAGTCCCTTACCATATCCCTTGAAGATTGGGTCAACAATGGCGATTTTCCCTCTGCCAGAGAAGGCCTCAGCTTGGTCCACCAGGGCCTCCCGCAGGGCCTCTGTCCCACAAAGCATGACTATTGGCCTTGGTCCCAGATACACCGTGAAGACATCCCCATATTTTTCTCGGAGCTGCCAAGCATACACATACCCAGGGTTGCTATTAGTCAGTATGCCAACCCCCATGTTAAACCATTAAAACACTTAGACACAGATTGGTAATTAGCTGCTGTCCCCAAGGCACTCCACTCCAGGCTGTCTTTCCCCTTCCAGAATGCAGCAACTAAAGGGTTAACCCACCACCCAGCCAGGGTCCATGTGATTGGTGCCCTACGCAGTACAGATGGTTAAATATCTCTAATATCACCCCTGCACATACCCTTAAATCTGGCCAGATCCTCCCAACATCACAGCTAAAGAATCATCCTTCTTGTGACCCAACTTCGACCTGCTACCTGCCTCCTGCCAAATTCCCTGGAGAACTATCCTGAACCACCCATTCCGTAGACATGAAAGAAAAGTGACGGCCCCCTAAGGGTAATCATGAAATCTGAAAAATCACGATATCAGTACAGCCACTCGGGAAACAGCTCAGCAATATTTACTGAAGCTGAAAGTATGTATACTCAGCGACTCAGTGACTTTATTCCCACATACATCCCAGCCAAAATGAACACATACATTCACCAAAAAACAAAACAAAACAAAACAAAAAAACGAACAAGGAAGACTGATCAATAAAATGCTCAGCAACAAAGACAAAGAATAAATACATAGTGATATATTCATACCATGGAATTCTATGCAGCAATGAAAAGGCACAATCCATTACTACAGCCAACAACATGAATGAAACTCCCAGTGTAACATTGAGCTAAAGCAGCTGGACACAAAAGAGTCCATACATCATAACTCTATTTATATGAAGTTCAAACACAGGTAACATGAATCTGTGGTGTCAGGATAGTGGCAGAGGAGCAGCTGGACAGGGACATGAGGGGGATTCTGGGGACAGGCCATGTTTGTTACTTATCTGTAAGTCAATTACATGAGTGTGTTCATTTCATAAAATTCACTGAGCTGAACACTTAAGATTTGTGCACTTTTTAGGGCGATGTTAAACCTCACTGAAAAGTTGACTTAAAATCGTAAAAAGGTTGTTTACTGGAAAATCTCTCACATTGACCTTGGCCAAGCCCCTTCACTGGTCTCCTGTGGAGGTCCAGAAGCAATATCACCCTGGAAGTGAGGTCACCCTGAAAGCGACATCACCAGACCCAGTTACAGGATGTAATATCACCGGAAGTGATATTTCCAGGGAATGGTATCAACAAGAAGTGAGATCACCGGAAACAGAAGCAACTACACGGGATATGAGATCACCTGATATGAGATCAGTCCAGAAGTGACATCATTATGAGCCTGGGTATATAAGTGGTGCTCAGAAAATAAACTGCATCACTTGTCTGCCATCAGCAGGCAGTGAACCTCCTGATCTCAGCTTTGGTTTCTGTGCCTTTCTTGTATCTTTCTCTGTTTTCTTAAAGCTCCTCCTCCACTCCACTCAGGTTCAGCTGATTTGTGGAGCTGGTCTCCGCAGTCTCCCTGTCTCCACTACAATCATTTCATGACCCACCCCAACCTAGGGCAAGAGTAATCTTATTAAAATGTAAATTAAATAGTATTTCTAACTTGCTCCAAACCCTCCAGCACTCTGACTTAGCTGAGAATAGGATCTGACATCCCCACTGCAGTTCACAGGGCCCCACACGAAGTGGCCCCATCCCCTCACCCAGCTCCCGCTCCCACGCACCCCTCTGCTCACACAGACCCAGCCTCCATGTTGTCCCCCAAATATGCTGAGCTTTCTCCTGCTTCAAGGTTCTTGCACCAACGCTTCCTCTCTCTGATGTCTTCCTCCTGCATCTTTCAGAGCCTCTGCTCAGAAACAAAGCAAGACCGAGCCTTCACCCCCGCCCACCCTAAAGTAGCCCTACCACTTTCTAGAATAGCACCCTGCTTTATTTTCATCATAGCTTCCGTCTAACCTAATATTTCCTTATTGGTTTATTTTGTATGCCATGTCCAATGCCACATCATCAATGCCTAGAATATTCCCCAGCACACAGAAGTTGCCCAGGAAATAACTACTGAATGAGTGAATAAATGAGTGAGGGGATCAAAATAGTTGCCATTTTTCAGGTGGGACTGAACTGGGCAAGATTTTTGGAGGAGAGGCGATGGTAGGTGGATTTTGAAAGAACAGTGACTTTTTGTGCATTTAGCACTAGTGCCCTGAGCCTTGGCACCCATAGGTATGATAATATTAATGTTTCCCTTTGTGTTGCTTGTTTAGAAAAGGAAGTGAAGAGAAAGTGCCCACGTTTGAAGACAAGGATTGAGTACCCAGTGTTCACTGGCACTCCTTGGCTGACCACCTTGGGTGATTTACACATAAGATCCACCCACCCAGGCTAACATGAGATTTACATATCAAAAGAACTTCAGAACCTACAAAGCACTACACAGATATTAACCAATTTTATTTACATTGCTAATTAGTATGGTGCTGTCCAACACAGTAGCCACAAGTGACTATTGAGCACCTAAGACGTGGGCTAATTGGAAATGAGATGTGCCGTAAGTGTGGAACACAGGCTCACAAATGGGGACCAGCCCTGAAAATTCTCTGAGCAGATAATGCCAATCTAGTCACACAAAGTTTAATTTAGCTTTTTTTGAAAGACTAACTGTACCTGGATCATTGCTTGCTCTGCCTCTGGAAACCATAAGCAAAACTTAAAACTGTTTCCCAAGGTTGATTTAATCTAACCACTCAACACCCTATCATTTGAGAAAATTCCAATGTTATAACCAATCATGGTGAAAAATAGTCACTGCCTTCTCACTATAGAAGCTGCCTTAGAACAACATACCCCTGAGCCTCGTTCCATGTTTTGGTTTGAGTGCTTCGGTCTGCAACTATCTTCTTGACGTGTGCATGATAAACTTCTACTAATTGTTAAAAGACAAAGTATGTGGCTGCCATTTGACAAGTCTGCCTACTATACACCAGGCTCTATGAAATATCTCCTCTGATCCTCACAACAATCTTGGGAGCACACATCCTTACCCATCACCACCTCATTTTACAGAAGAGGAAACTGAGGCTCAATGAATGAGAGTTGAATGTGAAACACAAGCAGACATCTGACTGCAGAAAGATTGGGGAGCATATTGGTGAATGGAGGAGCAGTACCCCCACCCCATCAACCTCACCATGACACCCACTATCCCATATGCACCCCCCTCCCTCTCTTAACTGATTTATCTCTCTCTCCACAGAGATGCAATGATAGTAGAGGTCACGGACACTTAGAGGGTCCTTGGAGGGCCATGGAAGAGCTTTATTGAGTCTGGAATTCTCAACATTTTATGCAAAAATGGATGTGGATATTTGGAGGGAAGGGAACTCCCAGCCTTCATCGAATTCTCAAAGGGTCTAGTGACCCTCACATTTCTAGGCAGCTTCAGTCTATGAGGCATTGGACGTGAAGAGACCCCAGCTGGGCCCCAGCGTCCCCTCTGTGAACAAGTAACTTCCCCAGGCTGAGCCTCACTGTCCTTATCTATAAGATGGGGATAGTACCTTACCGAGCCCACAGAGTGTTGTAAATGAGACCTAATGAATTCCCACAATACAGATAAAACCCGGCCACATAATTCTGAGTGAAGAAAATAAGTTCAGGAGTTTACCCAAAAGCATGATACCCTAGTGATGCATTGAAGACAATGAACTAAGTAATACATACTTGGGGCCTCTCGGTATGTGACAAAACTCTCGATTAAAAGCAAAGGAAGGGCAAGCCCAAGACTCAAAACTGTGGTTGCCATAGAGTTTGGGGGGCATGGAGCAGCACAGGGCGGCTGGAAATTACATCAGTGTGCCAGTTCCTCCACAGGTTCATGGGCGTAGATGACATTATTAGCAAATAAACAGATACCAAACACAAAATCAGACCTGGAAAGCAGTGATACAGAGCCTAGTAAACACTCCATGGTGTCAGCTACCACACAGCATTAATGTGCACCCTGGTGAGCACCTGCCCCTGGCCTCCCCATCCTGCTCTCCCTCCCACCTCCCCATTGTCCAGGTCCTGACATGAGCCCGCTGTGTGCTCTCTTTGGCTGGCAGAGGAGAAACCTGCTTGCTGGTGCCATCAACCCATTTTTCTCTTTCTCCCAGTGGGGGGCAGTTACCCAGGGATGCAACACAGGGTGGCAGAAGAGTATGAAATTCTATTCTCAGGGCTCATTCCCAGATGCCTCTTCGTGCCCGGTTGCCCACTCCAGGGACAGTGCCCACACACCTCAACGGAGCAGGCACACCTCTTTCTATCTGACTATCCTCCACGCTGCTCAGCTCCAGGACCCTCACTCACCACCCTTCACACACCCCACCCCGGATCCTGGAAGGCCGTCTCACTCCTAGTGAGTGCTCCCCAAGTACAGGGGCAGGAGCCACGCTGGGACTCTGTCACCTGCATCTCACCTTCATGAAGGATTTGAGTAAGCCTCTTCTGTCCATCTGCAGAAGGTTCCCCACGAAGGGCAGAGGACGGGGGCCTGGCGGGAGGCGGCCATGGCCCTTCGGGTGGCCCCTGGCCAGGAGAAGCAAGAGTCCCAGGAGGAGAGCAAGGAAGAAGAGGACGCTGAGCTCCATGATCCACACCCTGCTGCCTTCTACCCAACTGCAGCCTTGAGCTGGGCCTTTTATATGGAAACTACCTCCGCAAGCAGTTGTGTAACTTCATCAGTTCCCTGCCACCCCTTCATCATTGTCCAGGAGTGTGAACTTGAAAGAGAAGTCCTAGGCGTCCCACACTTCCTAGTCAGGTAACCCTAGACGTTGGCAGAAACCTTGGCACAGATACCAAGGTCCACATGAATGGGTGTGTGCACACACCATACTTGTGTTTACTTCTGTGGGGACAAGTGAACTCAAAACTGCTTTTCTTGGTCATGTTTGGGTGTTAGACTTTTGTCCATGCTTGCCTGCAACATCTGTGTGTGCTTCTGTGATTTTTACATGTGGAGGGGTGTTTGTATGTATATGAACATGCTGATGTGCTAATGTGTTACTGTGTCTGAGGCAGTGTGTGATCATGTATAATTGTTGCACGCAGGCATGTGTGTATTTAGGTGGGCTCACGTGTGTTTGTGTTGACGTGGTGGTGCTAGTGGCAAATGGCCCTGTATGTGAGTGTGCATGCTTGTGTGTGCGCAGCCCCGGCGCCTGTCTTTGTGGGGCCATCGGGTGCTTGGTGTCTCTCTCTCCAGTCGTCCTTCCTTCCACCCCCCATTCTGTGACAGCCACAGATGGGGCTGGTGGCAGAAACAGGAGCAGAGAGAGACACAGACCAGAACAGGTGGGAATCAGAGGTGGAGAGAGACAGAGAGACTAAGACCTGGCAGGTGGAGATTTGAGTCCTCGGGGTGGTCCTCACCTTGCCTCTGGGCTCTGTCCTCACAGAGCAGGACATTTCTCGGGCCCTCTCTGGATAATCTGCATGTGTGTGTGTCTCTCTGTCTCTTGCTATCTCTCCTGACTCATTGTCCCTGTTTCTGCCTTTAGATGCTAGCTGACTCCGGGAGCACAGAGTCAGCGTTCATTTTTGATTGATGTCCACCTGGCCCACATCTGTCTCCATCATCACTCTGAGACCCTGGCAGTCTCAGGCCGTATCTGCTGAATACATGGATGAATGTGTCCTTGTCCACCTACTGTGCTCTGGGTCCGGCTTCCCACCTCTCTGTCTCTCTCCTCTGAAATGTTAGGCAATGTTAGGCAAACCCCTCTTTGGACCCAGGACCTTGACCCTGGGGGTTGAGTCATATGCCACCAACCCGAGAGGAGTGGACTGACAACCCTGACATCTGGAACGCAGGGGTGGAACCTCCACTTTCCTGACCTGGGAGAGATGCCACCGTGGACTTTCCTGACCCCAGGTCCTGGCTGCCACTGTGCAGTGTGATCTGGCACTGACCCTGGGTCTGATTCCAGCCCCAAGAATCACTGATGGGGAAGCATCAAGTGCTTCAAACAGAGTAACTCACTCAGCCTCACCCTTTGAGGTGGGTATTGTTGTCATATGCACTTGATAGATAGGGATAATGAAGCACAGAGAGGTGGAGAGTTTTACCCAAAGTCACACAGCAGGTTAGAGTCCCATTGTCCAACATGGTAGCCACTTGCCACAGGTGGGTATTAAGCACTTGAAATAGGGATAGTAGAAATAATTAAAATTAAAAATCTAATTTTAGTTATAAAACTGATACTCAATTCAGTTATTAGAAAACTTCTAAGTATATTTGAAACAACTTAGGTAGATGAATCTACTTTTTTAATTGTAAATCTCCTGAAATCTAAATACAGAGCAGGTGTTTCTGAAGATAAGTTAGGCTGCAAGTTATGATGTGTTATGAGTGCAAAACACATACGACCTTCCAAAGACTTAGAATGAAAATGAGAGGCAGTGATTGCACTGCAGCCTGGAAACTCCTTTAAGGTCAAAACTGAGGTTAGGGTAGTGCTCTCCTGTTTTGGTTCCCATCTCTCAGGGATAACTGTCCTTCGTGGCCTGACATCCTGTCTCATAAAACCTCTTTCCTATCTTGTTTCCACGTGGTGGTTATTTTGGCAAGAAGGCTTACGTGGGCACTGTCCTCATCTTGGCCATAAGGTGCTATATGTGCCTTCCTGGGATGAGGTGGTGGCGTCTGCACGTAAGCTTGTGTAGGCTTGTGTAGGCTTGTGGTGTTTTCTGGGTGAGGTGTGTTTACATTTGCATGGTGGCAGTGGTATGTGCTCCTGAATATGAGTATGCATGTGCGTGTTGTATATTTGTGCATGTGTGTGTGTGTGTGTGTGTGTGCGTGCGCACATGCATGCACATATCCTGGGCCTGCAGACGCTCAGCATTTTTCTCCTTCACCTCCCTTTTTATGTCCTCATCTTGGCCATAAGGTGCTATATGTGCCTTCCTGGGATGAGGTGGTGGCGTCTGCACGTAAGCTTGTGTAGGCTTGTGTAGGCTTGTGGTGTTTTCTGGGTGAGGTGTGTTTACATTTGCATGGTGGCAGTGGTATGTGCTCCTGAATATGAGTATGCATGTGCGTGTTGTATATTTGTGCATGTGTGTGTGTGTGTGTGTGTGTGCGTGCGCACATGCATGCACATATCCTGGGCCTGCAGACGCTCAGCATTTTTCTCCTTCACCTCCCTTTTTCCATGACAGCCTTAAAGACAGAGATGATGAAAGCAACAGAGAGAGACGATGAGCAAAACAAAGGTGGTGAGGCCCAGAGGCAGGGGCAGAACAGGTGGAGAGCGGCAGAGACCGCGATCTGAGAATGGAACATACAGTCAGCTCAGAGGCCTGTCTCTCTTGGGCTCTTTGTGTCTCTCTGACCAAACCAGACAGTTCTCTCCTTGTCCCTTCTGTCTGTGTCCCCCAGGTGTGGGTGTCTTTTTCAGACCCTCTCTGCAGCTCTCTCTCTTGAGTTTTCCCTCTTTCTTGGTCTCTCTGTCTCTCTCTCCAGGCTCTGAGTTCCAGGAGTGCAGAGTCTGGGTCCAATTTAGGGGATGTCCACTAGGCTCAGATCTGCCCCATTCATTCAGGTTGCCCACCGTGTGAATGAATGTGTCCACGTCTGCCTGTCATTGCCTCGCTATCAGCCTTTGTCTTTCCCTCTCCTTTAAAATGGGGAAAGCAGCACCTTGTTTGCAAAGCTAAACAAACCACTCGCCCCCACTGAGGATCCTGATTCCAGCAGGTGGGGCAGGCTATGTCACCCCACATGCATGGGAGTGAGGCAAGTATGTGCTTTACCTGAATCTGAAGGCCAAAGCTATCAGGGCCAGCCGTACCCTAAACTCCTCTAACCTGGGAGAGACTGAAAATCCTGACCTCTTGAGTCCAGGGATGGAACCTACACTTTCTTGAACTTGGAGAGGTGCCACTATGGCCTTTCCTGGCCCCAGGTCCTGGCTCCTGCTCTTCTGTGTAACCTGTGTGGTCTGGCCCTGAGGTTGGGGTCATCGTTCCAACCCCAGGAACCACAGATGGGGAGACATGAAGTGCTTTACATGGAGTAACTCTCTTAATCCTCACCCTGTGGCGAGAAGGCTTACGTGGGCACTGTCCTCATCTTGGCCATAAGGTGCTATATGTGCCTTCCTGGGATGAGGTGGTGGCGTCTGCACGTAAGCTTGTGTATGTCCTCATCTTGGCCATAAGGTGCTATATGTGCCTTCCTGGGATGAGGTGGTGGCGTCTGCACGTAAGCTTGTGTAGGCTTGTGTAGGCTTGTGTAGGCTTGTGGTATTGTGGTCCTCCCCACTCTATAGGTGGAAAGAGTGAAGCACAGAGAGGCTAAGACCTTGCCCAGGGTCACACAGTTGTCTAGAGGTAGAATCAGGTAGCAGAGCCAGTCTAGTTCCAGGGCCTACTATTTCAAACACTTCCCTATGCTGCCTTTCTGAAAGCAGGGCTGAGATACAGGGAGAGATAGCAGACAGTGGGAGGCAGAAAGGGAAAGAGAGAAGGTGAGAGGCAGAAGAGGACAGTAAATTCTGGGAAAAGGGATTCTATGGATAAACCAAGAAGGGAGAGACTAGGTTAAACAAAATAAACTGGTTCCTCCCCCTGTAGGACTTTTCAGGGCCTTTAGATTGTTGATGTGCACTATAAATACTTCATCAAGAAGAGAGGGGAGTTGACAGCAGCTCCCCCGCTGATATGACCTATTATTTCTTTTCTTTCTTTTTTTTTTTTCTTTTTTCTCTTTTGGAAGACCCATCACTGCCTCCCAGGTCTGGGCCTCCAGCAGGCACTCTGGGAAGTGCTCACATGTCAGAATACAGCCCTCGTTTTTAGTCAGACAGACTCAGTCTCAAAACCCAGCTGCATCATTTCTTTGTCATGCCAAAGATATTTGAGCAAGTGTCTGCCCCTGTGTGGATAAAGTGAAGGCTCTTATGGCCAAGATTCTCACCTGGCCCTCGTTGGCTAGCTCACTACAGACATGTGGGCAATACGTTGTTATCGACTCCATATAAAAAGTTCTGCCTGGTGCTCTGTGTGACGCGGTGTCATGGCTGCAAGGCTGCAGGAAGGCAGAGACGAGACTAGAGTGGTGGCAGTGCTGAAGACAGAGACTGAGATGGCTGTGGGGGTAGAAAAGTCTGGAAGCAGAGACCGGCTTGCTGCATGCAGACTCGCTCTGAGTGGATGGGATTCTAGGGACTGACCTGCCACTGTGGGAATAAAATCGGGTATAAACCTTTCACCCCAAGACTGTTCCACTGTCATTTCTTTGGTCTCATTGAATCCATAGTGAACTTGTCTGGGGCTGAAACCCACTGGCAAGACACCCTGCAAGCCTGGGGTCTCATCTGGAAAATGTGGGTACCTACCCAACAGGGTCATCCTGAGGGTGGGGAAAAGACCTGAGATGCAAGAGGCTTGACACATAACAGGCGCTTAGTGACTGCACGCCACAGGGAGAAACAGAGACTGTGGCTACAGAGAGGCAGGCAGCCCCAGAAGGAGCCTCATGGCAGGACGAGGCAGCAAGAGGGAGAAACACGAGACAAGGTTCTGGTGAGACAGTGAGAGCGGCAAGCAGTCATTCAAAACACAGACGGGGCACCTATGCCCCGCCAGGCCCTCCTCCAGCCCTGGGGATGCAGCTGTAAACAAAACAGGCAAGTACCTGACATCCCAGGGAGGGACAGATGAAAGTGAAAGAGGTAAGCACAGTGAC